TGTGTCTCCATGTGTGCCTTGCATGCACATGTGTGTCCGTGTGTGCATGTGTGTGCCTGGGTGTTCACAAAGGAGAGGGGAGTCAAGGCATCCGATGTCCATTCTCCCAGAGTCCCCTGGGGCCTCCGCCTCCCCCAGGAAGCCCCTGTGCCCACGCCCCTGAGGGCTGTGAGGTTCCAGTGCTTTCACCTCCGCTTAATGGCTTCACTGTACCTGTGACTATGAGGCTCAATGGGACCATGAGTCCCGATAATAGTCAGAATAACAGATAAGGCTGGCGCCTTGGAGGCTGGCCAGGCTTTTCTCCTGTTATCTCAGACCCCGCCCCACGCCTGCGCTCCATGCTGTGTCCTCATCTCCCTGGGCTGGCCACCACAGCCGGCTCCCTCAGAAGCCCTGGTGCCAGCTACGTGCCCCTTGTCCAGGGCACATGCCATTCACTCACTCACTCACTCATTCGACAGCACGTGGTGAAGGCTCTCTGCCCGCATCAGGGAGATGGCCGTGGGGAAGCAGCCTCACGCTGGGGGCTCTTGGTCCATGGGGAGGGGGAGGGGGGAGAGGGTGACCCAGGGCAGGGGTGGGGGCACCCTGAGTGGAGGAGGAGGGTGTGACCCTGGGCAAAGAAGGCCAGTAAGGGGCAAGGAGAGTGTGGGCCTGGGCGACGGCCTGCAGCTGGCTTGAGCGGCCGCAGTAGCCAAGCGTCACCACAGAGCCAGAGTCTAGGCCTGAAGAGACTCCACGCCCAGGCTCTGTCGTGAGGCTGCAGGGGGCAGGCAGGGGCCGGCGTGGGGCACAGAGGGGCCAGTGTGGGGCACAGAGCCACAGAGGGGCCTGGCTGTGGGAGAAGGTGGTGGGATATGAGCAGTGAGTGGAGTTGAGTCAGCCGCCTGGTGGTCACAGGTGGCCAGTGGAGAACAGGGAAGGGCCTGGAACCAGGCAAGACTCCAGGCCCCTGCCGTTCAGGAAGGAAGTCCCTGGTGGGGACTGTGGGTGAGGACCTGAGTCTCCCTGTGCCACAGTGGGAGCGGAGCCCTTCTCTCCTCACGCCCCTCCCCACGCCCAGAGCTTCCTGCACCCCAGGGGTCACCTACCCGTGTTTGGAGCCAGATTTGGTTCCCAGTTTCCACAAACGCCCCCTCCCTGCCATGTCATGTTTGGGGTCAAAGGAACATGGCCATGGGCCGTGCCCACCCTCACCTCCCAGACAAGGAAGTCTCCAGGTGGCTTCAGGCCCTCTCCCCACAAAAGCTGCCCCCGCCCGAGGCCAGCCTCGGAGAAGCCCCCTTGCCCGGCATCCCTGGCACACTGGACGCCCCCTGGAGGCTGCACATGCTGCCCCTCCCCAGCTCTGGCTGGGGCGAGCACCCTGAGCTGGTTTGCCCCGGGACACTGTCCTCCCCAAGACCCTGTGCAGCTGTGCCTTCCCCAGGGGCCCTGCAGAGCCTCCTTCCCAGGCTGACACTCCAACCGCAGCCCCTCCCCACCCCCCACTCAGGTGCCCCATCTGGGCCGGCTGAATCCGGTTTCGGGCAGCTTTCTCAGGGGCCTTCTTCACCCTGGGACACCTGAGGAACAGGAAAAGCAGGAAAGCAAACACCTCATCCAAACGCAGGCACACGGGGTCTGAGAAGGCTGCTCTGAGAAGGCTGCTCGGGAGCTTATCAGGAAGGGCCTTTGTCCCTGTGGCCCCATCTCTCAGGGCAGGCTCCATCGGGGGCCGGGCCTTTACTTCACCCCTTTTCACATGCACACACACACATATGCACACACATATCACATGCAGACACACGTGTGCAAACACACGCACACACAGCAAGTCTAAGCCATCAGCCTGCTTCAAACCCTCACCCACTTCGCAGCGGTCTCCTGAGCGAGGCCCCCCACCTCCACCTCACCCAGCCTGGGTGCACCTTGATCCTGAGGCTCTACCCTCCGCCCCTCCAGATCCTCAGAGCCCCTGCCCAGAGGGGCTCTGCTCACACTGCGTCCTCATTCTGCTCTCCTGGCCAGCTCTCCCCACTTCAGGTCTATATGGCCGGAAGTGTGCGGGCCGGGTGTGCACTCCAGGTATGCAGGTGCGTGCCCCAATGGTCTCACCACAAGGCAGAAAACCAATTAAGAAATGAAGAGCTGGGTCTGGAGTGAGGGAGCTAGGGAGGGAGGGAGCATAGACAGAGGGCGAGTGTAGACAGACAGAGGGCGAGTGTAGAGGGAGGGGTGAGTGTAGACGAAGGGGTGAGTGTAGACAGAGGGGTGAGTGTAGACTGAGGTGCGAGTGTAGACAGAGGGGGTGAGGACCCCGCCCTGCGACAAGAATGCCTGAGACGGAGGCAGAGCAGCCCCAGGCGCCTGTGCAAGCAGGTGAACAAGGGCTTCAGGAGGAAGACCATGGGCTGAGAAAGGCCAGGCCAGCAGGTGGGGTTGAATGGCTGGGGAGGCAAAGAGGGAGGCCATGGTCAAAGGGGAAAGAAAGTCCACGGTGGGCTTAAGGAGAGGAGACGGTGCGTGCGGTAGCTTCTCTCAAGGTGCTTTTCTGCAAACAAGAGAAAGGAATGACTGGTAGCTCGGGGGCGGGGCAGGAGATGAGTTTGGGCTTTGCTTTTAGAAGGAAATGGCCTTTGAGAGGACCCAGAGGGAAGGAGTGCAGAAAGCCCTGGGGAGCGGTGAGGGGGTGATAGATCGTGGAGTGTGGGTGGGGCTGGGAGAGCACTGTGTGCCCTTGACTGCCCCTAGGCGCTTACAGAGGGCCGAGGGATAGGGCTGCTGGCTTGGGCTGGTCTGTGAGGGTCCCTGGACAATGGAGGGGATTAGGACCCTGACCCGAGGGCAAGGCCAAACAAGTGCAAGTACATGCTCAGATGTGCCTTGCTGAGGGACAGGCTGGGGCTGCCCCTCCCTTAGCCTCTGCAGGGTTCTAGGTTAGGCAGGGTCCTAGGTTAGGAGCAGAAGGCAGAGCCGCAGGGCAGCCAGGGAGTAGAGGCTCCACCTGGCCTCAGATCTACCCCTCCTGCTGCCCCTGGGCATCCTCGCCTCCAGCCCGACCACCCCTCGGACCCAGAGCCCCAGGTGAGGCCTGGGCCCTGCGACCACCAATTGTCCAGCCACAGGAGGTCCTAAGCAAGGGTTCTCAGGCGGCCCCACCCTGGCCTGGAACAAAACAGCTTTCACGTGGGGGCTCAGTGACCACGCACGTGCGCGTACATCTGAGCCTTTGCTGGCAGCCTGCTCTCCACTGTCCCCAAGTCTGCCACTTCCTGTCCTAGCCCATTCTTTGCAAGTACTGCTGGCTTCCTGGTGGCCGGGCTGAGCTTGGGGTTCACCTCCCTCTGACGGCTAAAGCACAGCTCTTTCCCTCCGGGCTCCACAGGCGAGGCGGTTGCTCTGAGAGGCCGCGGGACCCACTTCTATGTCGGGGGACGGGGGTCACATAACGACCCCTTTGCCAGACTTTCTTCTCAGAAACAAAACAAGAAATGTTAACCCTGAGCTCTCCATTTCACATGTAAAGCCACAGGTTCCTTCTGGCATTAACTACCAGATCTGTTTTTCATGATAATCTTCTTGACAAAGAAGAAACTCGCTCCCAGACCCCCTAAATCCATTCAGGCTAAATCCGCTGGTGGGTCACCGCCCTGAGTTTGAAAAACCCCGCCCAGGGCAGGCAGTGGCCTGCCGTGCCCCCGGACACGCCCACTCATTTTGACCAATCGCATGGTTCCACCCCCCCCCACGGACGCACGTAGCCTTCTGATTGGCCTCGCCGCCCCAACGATCCGCCCCACCTCGCGACCTGCTCCCCCCGCGACCCGCCCCCGAACACGCCCACTCATTTTGGCCATTAGCACTAGCGAAGGTAACCTCTATTTGCATGGTTCCGCCTCCTCCCCGCACGTCGCCTTTTCGATTGGCCGCGCCGCCCCACCCCTCGCTCCTCCCTATCGACTACGCCCACCCTTTCGACCAATCACACTGGAGGAGGGGACCTCTGTTTGTATGGTCCTGCCCCCCGCCCAGCACGTAGCCGTTCGATTGGCCGTTCCGCCCGGCGCCCTACGCTAGTCGCCCGCCCAGAGCTCCAAGTCCAGTCCTGGTGCGCAGGCCGAGGCCCACCGCCATGGAGCTGGGGCTCGCGGGTCGTAGGGCCCTTGTCACTGGGGCGGGCAAAGGTGGGCCCAACGGGCGGCGGCGGGCGGCGGCGGGCGATGGCCGCGGGCGAGGAGGGCGCACACTGAGCCCCGCTCCCCGCTCCCCGCAGGCATCGGACGCAGCACGGTCCAGGCGCTGCACGCGGCGGGCGCGCAGGTAGTGGCTGTGAGCCGCACCCAGGCCGACCTGGACAGCCTGGTCCGCGAGGTACGCGCCGGCGGCCCGCGGCCGTCCGGTCCCCTGCTCGGAGGGGCAGGCTGAACCCGACCGGGGGTGGGGCTGGAGACGGCCGCGCGCCCGTCGCCCACCCTCCCCCCCCGGGCGCCAGGCGCTGGGGCCGACCAAGGACCCTCAGCACCCTCTCCCCAGGGCGCGCGGCCTCCGTGGGTGGCAAGGCCCCCGAGCTTGGAAGGAGGCAGAAGTGGCTGTGGAGCAGGCTGGGGCCAGGGTGCTCCGGCAGGGAGGAAGTTGTCTGAACGCAGTTGCGGCCAGGCGCCTGGTCAGCGGCCCAGGGCTCATCCAGTGACTAGGGCCATTTCACCTCCCTTCCCCGCTCTGCCTGCTGGGGTCTGATCTCCAAGAGGGCAGCTAGCCTCCCTGGGACCCCTAATACCTCCCCTGTCCAGCTGAAAGATCGCCCAGACCCTGCCCCTCCCTCACGTGGCAGAGGCCCAGCGGTGCCCCTTTGTGGGCATGGTGCCGCTGCTAGCTGCCCACCCACCACAGTGCCCTGGCGTTGAGCCCGTGTGTGTGGACCTGGCTGACTGGGAGGCCACGGAGAAGGCACTGGGCGTCGTGGGTCCTGTGGACCTGCTGGTGAACAGTGCTGCTGTGGCCCTGCTGCAGCCCTTTCTGGAGGTCACCAAGGAGGCGTTTGACATGTGAGTCTGCTGCAGGGTCCCTGGGGGAGTCCTGGGGGGAGGAAGAACTCTAGGGGAGGGGCTGTCCCTGCAGCAGCCCCAGGCCCCGACCAGGGTTTGTCCATCTACCTCCAGGTCCTTTGATGTGAATCTGCGTGCTGTCATCCAGGTGTCCCAGGTGAGGTGCCCTGCATGCGGAAGCAGGGACTGGGGATGCCCCACGTCGGCCTCATCCTCCCTCTACCACTCCAGATCGTGGCCCGGAACCTGATCGCCCGGGGAGCCCCGGGGGCCATCGTGAATGTCTCCAGCCAGGGTTCCCAGCGTGCCCTGACCAACCACAGTGTCTACTGTGAGTGAGCTGTGTGCCCCCACCAGCTGGATGCTGCTATCATGGTGCTAGGAGAGGCTCCATACCCACAAAGGGGCACCACTGGGCCTCTGCCACTTGAGGGAGGGGGCAGGGTCTGGGCGATCTTTCAGCTGGACAGGGAACAGGTTAGGGGTCCCAGGGGGGCCACCTGCCCTCTTGGAGACCATCAGGCTCCATGCCACCACCACCCCCAGGCTCCACCAAGGGTGCCATGGACATGCTGACCAAGGTGATGGCCCTGGAGCTTGGGCCACACAAGGTGAGCTGGCCAGGGCCCCCCCCCTCCCAGGCCCCAAGCCCAGGAGCACCTGGCCCACCTCACTGACCCGTCTGCCTCATGCAGATCCGCGTCAATGCAGTGAACCCCACAGTGGTGATGACACCCATGGGCCGGGCCAACTGGAGCGACCCCCAGAAGGCCAAGGCCATGCTGGACCGTATCCCACTGGGCCAGTTTGCTGGTGAGTGGTGGGGGAGGGGCAGCCCCTTTGTTCCCAGATGAGGGGTGGGAAGAATGGGCTAGGCAGCCCCCTTCATCTGCCCTGTCCCCACCCCAGAGGTGGAGCACGTGGTAGATAGCATCCTCTTCTTGCTGAGTGACCGCAGTGGCATGACCACGGGCTCCACCCTGCCGGTGGACGGCGGCTTCCTGGCCACCTGAGTGCCTCCCCACGCCTGTCCAGTCCCAGGTGCTGAGCCAGCCCCGCTTCCTTGCTTCCTCCAGTAAACACTGTCTTCCCGCTTGGTCTTGGTGCTGATTCTTAGGCCTCCAGCAAGTGGCAGGGAGGTGCTGGGCTCAGGACTGGGTTGGAACGGGTCCACGCAGGGAGGGTCCCATTCCATTCGTGTTCCAGGCCAGGTGGGCACCTGGCTCCCACACCGGGCCAACCTGGCAGAGGCGGGAGACAAAGCCTTTCAGAAGGCCACCTCCTGAGGGGCGGTGGTGAATTGGGCCTTATCTAGACCTTGTGGGGAGCCCTGGTGGCGCAGTGGTTACGAGCTTGACTGTCAACTAAAAGGTCAGCAGTTCAAATCCACCAGCCGCTCCTTGGAAACCCTAGGGGGCAGTTCTACTCTGTCCTATAGGGTCGCTATGAGTCGGAATCGACTTGACAGTGACGGGTTTTGGTGAGGCCTTGGGGTGGAAGTGGTGGAGCGCTTCTAGGAGTCCAACAACCACTGGCTTGGCAGGCGTAACTCCAGCTGAAGCTGGTTAAGATCGCTCCAAGTACCGAGTAAGAAAAAGTGAGACAATGAAGATGTGGGCCGGAACTCAATCCTTGTCAATGACTGAGCTACATTTTTCTGATCGGATAATAGTTTTCGAATGCTGGTGGAGTATTTGATCAACTTTGTGTGCTGTTTACAATGTAACGGCCCCAGACTCCACACACTTAAGCTTAATCTGAGTTATGAACATTTTTTCCATCAGTTTCTTAAGTCTAGACAATAAACAAAACAAGAAATCACTTCCCAGTTTGTAGCATTTGCCAATTCCCATGGTGTAAATACTGGCGTTGTGGATGATTTCGAGCCACCAGTTTAGTGTCACTGAACATAGGGTGGAAACCCTGGTGGCATAGCGGTTAAGAGTTTGGCTGCTAACCAAAAGGTTGGCAGTTTAAATCCACCAGGCGCTCCTTGGAAACCTTATGCAACAGTTCTACTTTGTCCTATAGGGTCCCTATAAGTTGGAATTGACTCAAGAGCAACGGGTTTGGTTTTTTGAACATGGGTTTGGGATATGTGCGGTAGTCATCATTCTATGGCATCTTCACCCTACAGACGCCACTGACATGGGTAACCTCAGGGCACAGATGACAGTGACACGCACAAAAATAATTAGGAAATGATGAGCTTTGAGTATTAATTTTGTTTTTAATGCAACTCACTTCATTGTAAGTTTATATAATTTAATCTTTAATAATGGCTGTGTAACAACTGGCTAGCACCATTCCTGACGATTTAGCAGTCGGTGCCCCAAACCAGTATGAGCTGGATCCGGCATGGACATGTTCTGATCACGTGTCTGTCCAGAGTGGTGCCCTGTGGCCTCCAAAACCAAGTCCGAGGCCCTAGACCCTGGCTCCCGGGCCCTCCTGGGCCCCTCCCAGACTGACCTCCAGCCTCATCACCCACTATTCCTGACGACAGCAACGCCAGACTGCCGGCCCACTCGCCTTTACTGTCTCTCCACCCACCGTGCTTGTGGGACAGCCCTGCCTGGGCCGGGGGCTCCGTGAGGCCCGACGTGGCAATGGCAGGGAGGCACGTGAGAGCAGCCGTCTCACCCTGTGTGCCCCGCCCCAGGGGCTTCGATGAATATGAGCCAAACACACTCACTCCCGCTGGGAAACTGAGGCAGTCCACCAAACATTCTTCCCTCCCCTCTTCTTGCCCAGAGTGTCGGGGCAGGCTCAGAGACTCCCCTTCAGGGGAATCATACCCCGAGGTGCTGTTGTGGGTGCTGCAAACCCCCTCTGCACCCTTGGCTGCAGGGGCATTCAGGGCAAAGCTCCCAGGGCGGGGCGGGGTGAGGGGGGCAGATAGTGAGGAAAGCAGGTGGCATTGGTGGAGAATGTTTATTGTATAAAATACAAAGGGCAGCCCGTCCCAGTCCCAGGCACAATGGACAGACCCCAAGCCCCAGCCCTCCCATCAGGGAAGCCACCCTGGGGCTGCCCTGGACCCGCCCCTGCAGCCCCGAGGGAGACCCCGCTCCCTCCCGGCCTCTGGGGGATGGGGAAGGCTGA